GGTAATTTTGGAATTTTGCTATTATATTCCTTGGTGTTGTCAATTTGGGATCTCTTTCAGGTGGTGATGGTGATTCTTTCTATGGTTATTTTCCCTTCTGGTTCTAGGACTTCTGGGCAGTTTTCCTTTATGATTTCCTGAAAGATACTGTCCAGGCTCTTTTTTTCATCATGATTTTCAGGTAGTCCAATAATTTTTAAATTGTCTCTCCTGAATCGATTTTCCAGGTCGGTTGTTTTACTGATGAGGTATTTTACATTTTCATCTATTTTTTCATTTTTTTGTTTCTGTTTGACTGATTCTTGCTTTCTCATAGAGACGTTAGTTTCCATTTGTCCAGTTCTAGTTTTTAACAGATTGTTTTCTTCTGTTAGTTTTTTTTCCTTCTTCAACTGGCCAATTGTGTTTTTTAGGGACTTGTTTCTTCAGTGTACTCTTCTGTTAGTTTTGTCCTTCTTCTTCAATTGGCCAATTGTGTTTTTTAGGGACTTGTTTTCTTCAGTGTATTTTTTTTCCAATTGGCCAATTGTATTTTGAAGGACTCTTCTACCTCTGTCATTTGAGTATTAAAATCCTTCTTGAGCTCTTCTAAGAAGACTTTTTGGGCTTCAGACCAGCTCATATTCCCTTTTGTTGTTGCAGATGTGGGTTTGTTGACAATGTTGTCCTTTTCAGAATTTCTGTCTTGATCTTCACTCTTCTCATAATGTGAATCTATGGTACGTGTCTTTTTACTCATGGTGTTTCTTTACTCCCTGGCTTTTGAAGAGATTGAGCTCTCCTGCTGGGGAACAGAGGACACTTGACCCAAGCTTCTTGTGTTGGGTTCCTCGGTCTTGGTCACTGGCGTTGTGTGCTGGGGCCTCTTATGCTGGCCACTGGAGGCTGTAAGTTCCTGTCAGCTTACCTTGTGTTGGACTGGAATCAGGGAGGCTGGAAGTTTCAGGCAATTCTAGGTTGCCTGCTTTTCCTTTCCTTTAGCTTTCTTCTGCTCCTTTTAGATGGGTGCAGGGCGTTTATCTGCCTGGGCCCCCTGAAGTTTGTCTCCCTCGTTTTTGCTAATGCAGTGGGAGATTCCTTTGTGGTAGAGTGCCAAAGCACCTAGTGGTTTTCTCAGCTGGTTTTCATCGGTTCCCCCCCCCCCATGGGGCACTCAGAGGTCCAGGTGTTGGTATTTACCCATTCTACCACCTGGGCTTCAGGATTTCTTCACAGTTGGAGGCTGTAGGGTTCTGACAGCTTACCTGGTATTGGGTTGGAACCAGCAAGGCTGGGGCTTTAGGAGGCCTTTAGGTTTTTTTGTTTACCTTCTTTCAAATGAATGCAGCAGGGTACTTATCTGCCTGGGGCCCCTTGTAGTTCTGCCTGCCTTATTTTTGCTGAGGCCCTGGGAGACCCATTTGCTGGGCTGCTTCACTGCTCCTCCCTGTCTTTCTTCTAGTTCAGCTGTTCCGTGGTTTTTTTCTGGGGTGATATTTTTTGGGTTTTCAGAGGGTGATAGGGGAGAATGAGAGCGCCTACCTTTTCACTCCACCATCTTAGCTTCCGGAAGCGGAAACCCACTTCTAATTTTCATTAAATTGTTTTCTTCAGTTAGTTGTTGTGCCTCCTTTTCCATTTGGCCAATTCTACTTTTTAAGGAGTTGTTTTCTTTGGTGTACTTTTTTCCATTTTGTCAATTGTATTTTTAAAGGAATTGTTCAGTTTTTCTTCTCCCTCTCTTAGTTGACTTTTAAAATTCTTCTTGAGCTCTTTGAGAAGGCTTTTTGGGTTTGAGACCAGTTCATATTCCTCTTTGAGGTTTTGGAAGTAGGTATATTGACAATGTTGTCCTCTTCAGAATTTGTGTTTCAATATTTCATGTCACTGAGATGCTTCTCTATGGTCATTGGTTTTCTTTGTTGCTAATTGCTCATGTTGTTTGACTTTTTTTCTGGCTTTTGAAGTTGATCTCTGCTCCTAGGGTGCAGGGGGCACAAGTCCCAGGCTTCTTGTGCTGGAGTCTAGGGTCCTGGTTACTGGTTTTGTGTGCTGGGTCGTCAGGGGTTTGCTGCTGGAGGTTAGGGGTATCTGGTAGTTCACATGGTGCTTGGAACTGGTGGTGGTGGCTGATATGTGTGATGTTGGTGCTTTCCTGCTTCACTATCCTGGGGCTCAGGATCTCCTGCTGGTTTGTTGAAATGGGCTTTGCCGCTGTTTTGTTGGGACTCCTCCCATCCAGCAAGATGGACCTTTACCATTAATCTCCCTACCCTCCCAAGTTAAAAGACTGCTCTACCTTGTCTTTCTGCTGTCTCTCCTATTCCAAGATTTTTCGTGGGGCAATATTCTCTTGTTTTTTCAAGTTCAATAAGGGAGGGTAAGAGTAACTTACTGGTTATCCTGCCATCTTGGCTCCAGGAAGTCGAAATAGGTGACTTTCAAACATTCCATCTATGGGCTGATATCTCCAGGAGCAACTACTGCTTTGGCCCATTTAGTCACTCCTGTGTCCTGCTACTGATTTGCTGGAGCTGGTACTGTATTGCCTTTTCTCTCACCAAGTTCAGACATACTACTTCTGATCTCCTGCTGACCTTCCCGAATTCTAACTTTGAAGGAGTTGTTTTCCTCAATTAGCTTTTGTGCTTTCTTTTCCATTTCATCAATTTTGCTTTTTAAGCAATTGTTTTTTTTTCCATAATGTTGACTCTTTTGTTATAATTCTCTTGCATCACTCTTATTTCTTTTCCTATTTCTTCTCCTACCTCTCTTATATGATTTTAAAGCTCCTTTTTGAGTTCTTCCATGAAATCTTTCTGGGCTTGAGACCACTTCCTATTTTTCTTTGTGGTTTTTCTCACAGATGTTTTGACATTGTTATTCTCTTCTGAGTTTGTCTTGATCTTCCCTGTCACTATAGCAGCTTTCTCTGGTCAGATTCTTTTTTTGTTGGTTTTTGCTCATCTTTTTTGCTCTTTTTCCTTTCTTTTAAATTTGAGCTCAGCTCCTCGGATGGAAGAGGTAGTGTTTCAGGCTTGTTGTCCCAGGGGTTGCAGGCCCCAGCTCTTTACCTGGTGAGGTACAGATGTTGCCTTGAGACTCATGGGAGACCCTTGTGTTTAGTGCTGTGCTGAGGGAATGGGTTGGAAGATGGCTGGTGATGCTGGAGGCCTTAGGGGTCTGGCAGTTTACCTGCTGCTAAGCTAGGGTTCTAGTGGTGGTGTTTGGCATGTGCTGAGGCTGAAGGGGTGTTTCTGTATTTCCCTGGGGATACAGTGAATCACATGGAGTTCTGGTCTCTGGAGGTTGCCTGACTGCTCAGTGCTACACCGAAGCACATGTTGGTTCCCAGAGCTAGATCTGCCTGATCTAGTGGCTATGCTGAAGTACATGGGGAGTCCTAATATTGGCATTTGCCTGTTCCACCACATTAAGTCTTAGGACCTACCAGTGGTTTGCTGAGGTGGGGCTTGCTGTTGCCTTGTTGGGCACATCCTCTCCTGGACTGTATTCCCCTTATACTCAAATGAGACAGAGCTTTTCTACCAATCTTTCAAATTTCTTGGACTCAAAGATTGCTTCCCTTATCTTTTTGCTGGTTCTTTTGTTCCAGGATTTGTTTGGGGCACTATTTCATGGTTGTTTGGAGGTGAGTATGGGAAAGGTACCGTGATTTACTGCTTACTCTGCTGTCTTGGCTGCGAGAAGTCCAGAAATATTAGTTTTTTTAAGATTTATTGGGAATGAAACTTTGTGGATTCTGGTAATTGTTCTTTTTAGTTGTCAACAGTAGACAGTGAGGCATTTATGTGACAGGTGCCTCTGGACAAAATTCTGCATTAATGCTTGTGGAAATGGAATGGAATAATGGTCCATGATAATTTCAAGGGCATATTTTTTGACTTTTTAAAACTTCTATGTCTGTTCGCTTTGCTTTTTAAGGAGAAAAACAGGCTTAGAAATCTGTTCTAAGATAGGGGAGATGGATTGTGAAAGGAATCAAGAAGTAATTGGCCACAATCTATTTCAGAATTGTAATTCAAGGTGAAGCTTTTAAATGTAGGAGATCAAAATTTTGCTCTTGCTTTTTAAATTGTTTTGCTTAACCAGAGGTGGTGGTGGTGGTGGTTTTTTTTTTCCTGCTAGATCCCATGGTAATCTAATTTAATTTCATCTTCAAGTAGGTAAAAAAATTCGCATAGCCACTAAGTTAAAAGCTTATGTTAACCTTATAAGAGAAAAAATCCCTATATATTTCATCTTGTTTTTCTCTTCTAACACATCATGTTTTTCAGTATTTTGTTTTATTACCTATAATTTCAGATAGAGTCAGATGACTGAGAATTCCAATAGGAAAAAAAAGTATTCCATAATCAGCTTCTGATAATTGAGTATGTATGTAAAGCAATCATCCCTTTGGAGTGGATAAAGTCTTACTGGGTAGAGTTGTTAATAGAAACATGGTGTTATGTTACCTCCTTGAGTTAAATATTTGCCTAATAGGATGTGGGCAAATTATGAAACTACAGGTGAAGTTGGATATTAGTCACTGCTCTCCTTGAATTATTTTCTTAGTATTTTCCTAGTACCTACCCCACTACAACCACTCCATATAAACATACTTTCCCCAGAGTACTTGGATTTTCAGAGTTCATGACAGATACTGAAACTTCTTCCCACTTCCATAATTTCAAGTAGGGAGCAGACAGTTAAAGATTGACTTGAAGAATATTTATCTACTCCTCACACCTATCATTAGTCAGTGGTCACTGGAGTTTAGCCTTAGTACAATACTTATTTAACGTTTCTGGCCTTAGAACATTTTCATTACTCCTGACCTCTAATTACTTTTGTACTTAACACAAAGGGTCCTTATTAATATATATATATATATGTATGTATGTATGTATTTAGGCAGTGCTGTTTCCCTCATTATCTTGGTTAATAAATTGGTTTTTCACAAATAAAAATATTAATTTTAATTGAAAAATTTGTATATATATTTTTTTTATTTCAAGCTGTCTTTTGGGGAGATATTGCCTTAGATGATGAAGACTTAAGAATCTTTCCAATTGATAGAACAATTGATGTTACACAGAACTCATTTGAAAAACTTGGGCATATCACAGGTATGATGTTTATGGCATGTGCTTCTTCATGTGGATTACTTTCTTTTCTTTCAAATAATATTTAATATCAAATTGCTTAAAATCACCGTGTGGAAGATTAATTTTAAAAACATTTATTCTTCATTTTAGCTCAAGACAAATAAACACACTGTGAAGTTTATCTTTTATTCCTAACATTCACTTTGGATATGGATTTGCAAGTGTAAATTATGTGACGTGCAATTATATTGACTTTTGCTAAGGGAAAAAAGAAAATGTAAATATGATTTCCCTGACAATTGTCAGATGAGCTCTCTGCTTTTTAAAAGATATTGCTTCTGCTAGAATTTCCTTTGTTATTACATAACAATGAAATTAGATTTAAAATGTTAAAATCACTTGATATCTCTTTAAAATATAAATTTCACACAGCTTAATTGGCTTTGATATATTTCTGCTCCTAGTTTTGCTTTGTTTTGGTGAGTTGTACATTAGAATATAAGGTTAGAAAAAATTGTGACCTAGACCAGAGATCTACTTTTTGAAGTAGCAGCAGATGGTGGATTTCTTTGCCTTGCTTGCTTCCTCTGTTGTCCACTGTGTCCCCTATTCTTTCTTTTGTGGTTCTGTAATTATTCCTTAGTGACTTGCCAAGGAAAAGTACTCTGAATTTGAGAAATTTCTACTTCTCAATTGAAGTTTCTCTTTGTTGAATTGACTTTTGAATATAGGAAAGAATGAATTTTGGTCTGCTTTTATAAATGTGGATAATTGCTTCTAAAACGTGTGATGAAATGTCAACACAGAAAAAATATAGCTATCCATCTATATATGGAGAGACAGCTATCAATATCTACCCGTAGATAGAGACAGATTTTTTTAAGCCTGTATCACCAAGCAATGGAGGGATAAGGGAAGGAGGAGTAGTGCTAAACTGAATACATTTAATGCATTAAACTCAGAAATTTTTTTCCCCCAAAATTAAATATTCAGCTTTCCCTCAAATGTATTGGTAGAACTTCCTACTATATCGTCCTTCTTATGCTTAATTACTAGTACCATAGAGCTACTGTGTCATCAATTACCATGAGGACAGCTGAAATCTGTATTTGTGTTCTGAGCCCTATATTTACTTTTGACCTTTTTTGTCATATTCTTTTAAATTACCAGAGGTCATTGCTAATTTGCACACTTTACTATTTTTACACTTTTGTGTGTGGTTTTTCTTTATAATCTCATTTGTAATTAGACTGTGACATAGTAATAATTCCAAGAATAAGGGCACCTGCCCTTTAGAAAAATCAGTAGAGTATGAAAAATTAAAACTATGCTGCTCAAGTTTAAATCACTAAAATTAAAATATTTACAGAATTTTCTCTTCTATAGATCTTTTTTCACTCCTCACTTGGATTTCAGAGATTTAAAAGAATTTGAAAATTATACTACTTGATTTCTATCTTTTTTTAAATTCTCAGTTTATCCTTATTACTGATGATGTTTTTTAAATTTTCTTTACTGTTTGTTTACTAAAATGCACATCATGTTTACCAAACCGTCACTTACTTAATTTTTCTTAGTTTGTTGGCTAGTATCTATCTAGATTAATGGGCATTAATAATTTAATTCATAAATTTGTATTAATCTAAACCTAATTGTGATATATTATCACCTAGGGGATTTAGCTCTGGACCTATGGTAATTATTTTTAAAAATTTGTCCTAAAAATCACAATCATCTCCAATATTTAAAAAAATTCTTAAAATATTTTAACTGTAGTTGCTGAAATATTGGATTTTAAATTACATTTATCTTTTTGCTCATCTTACTGGGTACCATCCTGTTTTCCCCTTATTTTTATATTCTTTATATATTATGGATGTAATTTTATAGTAGCATGGCATTAATACTGATTTAAGTTTATGCTTGTAAGTGGCAGTACATTGGATAGCACATTGAATAGCACATTGAAAAATATACCCCCCAATCTGCCTGGGAATGAATGTAGTTAAGTATTATTTCATTCTTCTAAAATGTAAAATGCTAAAAATTTCAAAAAAGTTTCTCTAGAGGTACAGCAACTATTTGTGCAAATGTAATCCAAATAATTAACTTCATAATTATTCAGTGAGCAAGCCCTCTGACTTACTTGCCTTATAAGGGTCTACTTTACCATCCGTCTAAGTTAGGCAAGCAATAGATATTTATGACAAAAGTCAATCCAAAATAAGAAAAAGAAAACTGATAAATATGTTTGAGGAAAAAACAAACTGAAAGAACAAAACATATCTCTTTGTACCATTTTTTTAACCAATGTTCTTTAATTTCTTTGACCAGAGCAGATTCACGTCCTACAGATAGTATTTACCATAAAAATTTACTTGTATTTATTCTATCGTATTTAGTGATTTAATAAAAAGTTTCTGCTATGATTGTTGAGGTATAAGAAGAAGTCAGAGTTGAGTCATAGCACCTGAATTCAAGTTTTGAGTCTATTGCTTAATACCTTTGTGACCTTGTGCAAGTCAGTTAGTCAGTAAATGTTTTTTTAAATGCCTCCTGTGTGCCAGGCACTGTGATAAGCACTGGGGATATAAAAAGAGGCAAAAGAAGTCCCTGCCCTTAAGGAGTTTAACATCTAATTCACTCATGATCTAAGTTACTCAACTTCTCTTGACCTTGGTGTCCTCTGGTTCTAAATCTGCAGTCCTACAGATTCTTCCTCTGCTTTTGCTGCTCTGGAATGAGCACGAGTCATTTAACCTTGATGAGCCTCAGGTAACTCTAAAAGTATAAATTATAGACCAATGACTTGCGGTATGAATTTCTGAAAGCATAGTTATACTCAATATATTCCTAAACCAAATTTATGTTTTAAAAACTGATTTGGAGATGAAAAAAAAAGTCAGGTAAGAATTTTAAAAATGAGAAGCCAACCTGGAATAACAGTATGGATCCCAGGGATCTGGGTTCTAAACCTGGCAAAAACTCAGCCCATCATATGTCAGGATCCATGACATTCTTTAAGTCATTCATTCTTATTGAGCTTCAGTTTACTCATTAGTAGATAAAAGTACTGGATTTTATAATCTCTTAAATTCTTTCCAATTATGAAAGCCTCTAGACTACTGTCTATCATTATGAATTTGGCTGATCCCATTATGTATGAATTGTCCTAAAGCTTAATTATATTTCCCTTTGAATTGTTACCCATTCAACTCCTTTTCTCCAATTTCTTTATTATCGTAATTGCACGGGGACGCTTTACAGTCAAATTTTAAAGTATTGGGTAGGTTAATATTTTAAACTAAGACAACCTATGGCTTTAAGAGGTTTCAAAAAAAGTCTATTGATGGAACTTCTGCAACTTTGTAGTAAAGATGACCAATCTGTTTTTCCCGCTTTTAGTAGCTTGAATTACACTTGCTTCTTTACAGAATGAAAATGTGGATACTGTTTTTCTGCATTTAGAACAGTAGAGCATGTTATCTGTCAGTCCTTATTAGCACCAAATGTCAAGCCCACAGTGAAGGAAAATCTTTCAAATAATAATGAGATGATGTAATTGTTATAGCTTGTCTGAAAAACAAAGTCATTTTGACTTGCTTTCTGGAATGTTTGGCTACCATATCTCTTTAAATTTCTTCCAAAGGTTCTTGAATATATGCATATAGACATATACATATATATGTGTGTGTGTGTGTGTGTGTGTGTGTGTGTATAGACATATATATGTATATACATATATACACACATGTACATATGTACGCAGATATCATGTATATGCATGCACATGTATGTGTGTGCATATATTATGTATACATTAGTCATCTAATTTTGTAGGCTACATTAAAAGTACATAATGATTTCTAATGAGACATCTGTAGTTTTTTCTAAAATCATGTTATGTAGTAAATCTAACTTGAATAATTCTTTCTGTCTTATTTTTAAGGTGGCCTGGGAGACCATGGTGTGTCAGAGAAAAGAGGGGTTCTGTATCAGCTCATAGACAGGATAAGAAGATTTGGCTCTGGTATTTTCAGTGTTTAAAAGTATCAGGTTGCTTTACATGGTGTACAGTCAACATTTTAACTGTAGCAGTTTTGTTCCTTAAAGCAATTTATTTATGTGATAATCTTAAAGGAACTCCTCCTTTAAGGAGGAGCATTTTGCTTGTGTCTGTTGTCAGGTACATCTTGGGACATAGGAACAATAAAATTTAGGGAAGCTAAAATTGGTTTAATTTATTTTTAGCCTCCCATCATTAAAAGTGTATTAGGGGCTCATTGTGATACTTGTTCCTTATTATTAATTTATTTGTTATCAGCCTAGTGTGCTTTCATTAAGCATGGAGATATGTCTAGTTTTATCTAATAGGTGAATGTAAATAATGGTTAATTTTGAAAGTGGGGTGACATTGTGTCACATCTTATGGCATATTTATGAAGCAGATACCAAGGAAAGACCACAAATACTATTTCAAAGAATTGTAAAAGATTAGTCATTTATGATATTTTTCATTATCTCAGGATGTACAGAAGTACAAAAGTATTAAGAAGTAGAAACACTAAATGTCTCTAACATCTCTGAAGACAGTGCCACTTTAATATTGAATGACAGTGACTCATCTAAGAAGAGATAAATGATTTGTGTTATAAAATATCCACCTACCTTTCAGGGATTGCCAAATAATGTACTTTTTTTAAGTGCACCACAAATTGGGTATTTACATTGATATATGATGCCAAATTATGGGATTATTACACTTCAGGTTTCTGAAATGGATATTAGATCAACTAATGGAATTTACGCCAGTGATATGGTTTAGAGCAAGATGTGGATGGCCTACTCTAGTCCAGACAAACTAGCAAAAATCTTACTTTACTTTAAAAAAATCCATGTGTTGATCCATCATTTATTCACCTTCTATTTATATATGACACTGTGCTGGATCCTAAGCAATATAATAGGAACACAGAGGCCCACGGCCTTTTGTAGAATTTGATAGTTTAGACAAAAACAAACAAGGAAACCTAAAAACATAGACATAATAAATAAACTTAGTGCTCAGGAAGTATTTGCTGATATTGATGTTCTGTGCTGATTAAATGAGATATGGTAGGTACATAAATAACTATAAACATCAAAGTACTATAGAAATATGTTTTGATTTTTACGAATCATGACAGATAAGACGGAAAACAGAGAAAAGTCTCTCTAAACTATAGCTTTAAGTGCATAAAGACTTTTTAAACTTTAAAATTGCCTAGAAACAGATCAGCCAGTTGATAGATATTTTTAAAGCACTTATTACATACTAGGTACTGTGCTAAGTACAATAGATACAATGAAAGGTTAAAAAAATCCCTGTTCTTAAAGGGCTCATATTCTAGTGGGGAGAGACAACATGCAACCAATTATGTATGCGGGCTAAATTGGAAGAAATTAACAGAGGGAAGCACTCAAATTAAGAGGAAATGTTGTAGATGGGATTTTTAGCTGAGACTTGAAGAAGGTCAAGAGGCAGAGATGAAGAAGAAGAGCATTTCAGACATGAGACAGCCAACTAAAACGCCTGAATTATGTTGTTCAAACAACTGTAGTCTTTGGGGCTATATTCAAGATAAATGCTACCTACCCCACCGCCCAAAATCTGTACCCCTGCATGTGACCATTGAGCTTATGTGCTTTGTTGACCTAGATGGCAGACCTTGTCTTTTTAGCTTCATTTTTGAAGTATTAAAATAAGTGTTATTGTATATCCATTGTCAGCAAATAATAAAACTTTCATTCTAACTTGTTAATCTCCATGGTTGGTTTTGCTATTTTCAGTTCTGTTAAGTTTGAGAAGCATTTGTCGAGTGCCTCCTCCTTGTGCCTCTGTGCCAGGCACTATTCTAGATCCTGGGGATACAGTGATGATATGGAAATACACTTTGCTCTTAAGATGAACAGTTTTGAATGTAGCAATTTGACTTTGTTGAATAATCATAATTAACTTGTTAGCCATATCTTAATTATTAAGTCCATTTCAATTTTCTGGTGCTGAATTTTTAGTGATTTAGAGGAGGAAACAAAGAACTTACAGCATAATAGTGTGAGGCAGCTGGGTGGTACAGTGGTTAGAGTTCTGGACCTGAAGTCAGGTCCTCGGTTAGAGTTCTGGACCTGAAGTCAGGAGGACCTAAAAGCAAATACAGCCTCAGATACTTGCTGTGTGATTCTGGGTAAGCAGTTAACCTCTTTCTGCTTCAATTTCCCCATCTGTAAAGAGGAATAATAGTAGCATCTATTTGTGAAGATAAAATGACATAGTATTTATAAAGCACTTTGCATACCTTAAAGTATTATGTAAATGTTATTTATTATTCTTATTATTCTTATTTTGTGTTCATTATGCACGCCTAACATTGCTTTTAAAGATACTGGATTGTTAAAAGACATTTTGTGTTTGAAACTAGCTTCATAATAATGCCTTTGGATAGTATATAAGTTGTATGTGAGGTTTTTATTTTGTTATATTTTACCTTTAAGAATATTTGTAAAAGTATGGAACTAAAACATTTAAACCTTTGTCCTTTAAAAGGCTAAAAGAATCCCTGATGAAGTACTTCTGTTTCATAGAATATTTTAAATGTCACTGCAGGCTTAGAACAAAACAACACAGCCATGGGAAAAGCATCTGTAAAATTCTCAGGACAAAATGAGAAAAACCGGGTTCCCAGAGCTGCTACATCAAGAACTGAAAGAATATGGCCTGGGGGTGTTATTCCATACCTTATAGGAGGCAATTTTACTGGTAAGAATCTCTCTATGTATTTTGGTAGAAGGAAGAGATAATATCTTACTGATTAATCAAGCAAATATATTTGTGTAATTATAATAATAATAATGATATAAGATGAATAAGGAAAAGAAATAATACCTACCAAACCAGATTACGCTGTTTTACTGGGCTAGCATGTGCTTACATTTAAATTTCTTTTAATTGCCTAATGTTCTTCTCGTTTTTAAATCTGTACTTCCCATATGCCACTAAATCTTTCTACTGGCAGATGATTTCTGATAACCTATTTGAATAATTTATATATCAGTTATTGCATCTTTACGCACATACTGGCAAAGATAATGGGTTTTATTACTGGGATTATTAGCTATGGATGACCATACTTCAATCCCTAAATTGCTCTGCAGTCTTGTCATTGGCTTCTATTGAAACTCATTCATGCTCTCTTATTCTTGTCCATGAATCTTCCATCCAGTGTCCTGGAGATTCTTCTTCTTCTTCTTCTTCTTCTTCTTCTTCTTCTTCTTCTTCTTCTTCTTCTTTTCTTCTTCTTCTTCTTCTTCTTCTTCTTCTTCTTCTTCTCCTTCTTCTTCTTCTTCTTCTTCTCCTTCTTCTTCTTCTTCTTCTTCTCCTTCTTCTTCTCCTTCTCCTCCTCCTCCTCCTCCTCCTCCTCCTTCTCCTCCTCCTCCTCCTCCTCCTCCTCCCTCCTCCTCCTCCTCCTCCTCCTCCTCCTCCTCTCTCCTCCTCCTCCTTCCTCCTCCTCCTCCTCCTCTCCTCCTCTCCTCCTCCTCCTCCTCCTCCTCCTCCTTCTTCTTCTTCTTCTTCTTCTTCTTCCTCTTCTTCTTCTTCTTCTTCTTCTTCTTCTTCTTCTTCTTCTTCTTCTTCATCAGGGTTAAGTGACTTGCCCAGGGTCACACAGCTAGTAAGTGTCAAATGTTTGATCTGAGGTCAGATTTGAACTCAGGTACTCCTGACTTCAGGGCCGGTGTTCTATCCACTGTGCCACCTACCTGCCCCCTTTTCATTTCTTTTATTTGCAACATAAAAATTAGTATCTTTACCTGAAGGAATTCAAACATTTTCATGCCTCTTGTTAGTGTAGAAATTGTGAATGATATTTCTTTCTTCCTGAAGATTTATAATAATAACTCATTCATGATTGAGAGTGGTGTCATTGCTCTAAAGACCTACATAGTCTTTATGAAAAGCACTATTACTTAGTAAATCCAGTCTTGGTCTGGGGAAACCCAAATGGTTGGGACACCTTTTTTTTTGCCTTTGTAACATGTGTTGTTTATTGATACCATGACATTCTTTCAGGCAGCCAGCGAGCCATGTTCAAGCAGGCAATGAGGCACTGGGAGAAACACACGTGTGTAACTTTTATAGAAAGAAGTGATGAAGAAAGTTATATTGTATTTACTTATAGACCTTGTGGGTAAGTTGAAACAAGAGATGGTTTGCTTAACCTTAGCTCCAAAAGAAATTTTAATTTTGAACATCCTTGGAAAAAAAATGGAGTTCCTTAAGCTTTTTGTATATAACAAGTCATTTTCATTGTTGTTGTTGTTGTTGTTGTTGTTGTTGTTGTTGTTATCTTTATTTGTGTCTTTTACTCACGGGGTTCTTACTATTTTTGAAGAAAGAAGTGTAGCATCTTTGAATCTTTAATGAGCAGGGAATTACCAATCATATGCACCACTCCTCTCATTTTCCACAAGAGGAAATTGAGGCCTTATGTGGATATGGATCACTCAGCATTACCTGGTGAATTAGTGGCAGAAATAGGACTATCTCCATCTCCTGGCACCTAGGACAGTGAGCTGCCTCTATAATCTAGATATGAACCACAGCATGTGTTTATTAAGTAACGACTGCTCCAGTCTCTAGGCTGTACTGAGGATACAAACAGAAAGAATATATTGCTGCTTCATAGTGACTTTTTCTAACAGTGGAGACAAACAAGTAGCCATATAAGTATATACTAAATAAATATAAAGAGAATACATACAAATAAATATCACAAAATGAATTATGGATAGATCTCATCTGGGATCGTAGGATCATAGTTTATGGAACTTACTTTTGAACCCTGGTCTTCTGATTTGTGATCTTAGCTGCTGCCATGCATAGAGTGTGTTAGACCTGCAGTCAGGAAGACCTGAGTTCAAATGTGGCCTCAGAAACTTACTGTGTGACCTTGGGCAAAACCTATAAGCTCTGTCTGCCTCAGTTTCTTCAACTGTAAAATGAGGATATTAACAACACCTTCATTGCAGGGTTATTCTATCAATTAAATGAGATGATACTTGTGAAGTGTTTAGCATGGTGCCCTGCACATAATAAGTGGTTAATAAATGCTGAGTTCCTTCCCTTCCTCCTATTCCGTTCTTCCAAGTCCAACCCTCTTTCTATTGTACCACATTGCCTTTCGTTATTATGGAAAAGCTTCTTAGAAGAGGTTGGACTAGATGATCTCTAAATTGCCTTTTTCCCTCTAAGATTCTGTGATTCCTCTTTTGGAATTGCCCTTAGTGCCTACAACAACACATTGCTTTTGCATACCATCTGTGTTTGCAGATTTTGCTTTTGGGGAGGACATTTAGTTTTCCAAACAAGCAGAAGTTCTTTGGACTTCCAATGTGGGAAATACTATTTCTGGTCCCAAACAGTGTGTGATAATAAATCATTATAAGTTTCTTCCCCATTGAGTGGTTCATAAAATGGTTCTTCAGAAAGTTCCAAAGGAAGAGCTAGATCCAAAAATACTTTGAACAAAGAGAAAATCATTAGAATTAGTTTTAACCTGACAATGTGACTACTTTGAAGGGGGCAGTACTCAATGAAAATTCTTATACATGGGCAAAAAATGAAATTGGCCATGCTGTATGAATAATTGTTGAAATACAGAATTTTAGAGATAGAAGGAAACAGATATTATCAAGCCCAACTCTCTCATATTCTGGATGAGAAAACTGAAATCCAGTTTTTGTTGTTCATTCATTTTGGCCATGTGTAACTCTTCATGATCTCATTTGATATTTTTTTTCTTGGCAAAGATAATGGAGTGGTTTGCCATTTCCTTCTCCATCTCATTTTACAGATGAGGAAACTGAGACAAACAGCATTAAGTGACTTGTCCAAGGTCACACAACTAGTAAGTGTCAGAAGCTAGATTTGAACTCGGGAAGGTGAGTTTTCCTGACTTCAGGCCTGGCACTCTATCCACTGTGCCACATACCTGTCCATAGAAGCCATCTACCTGTGCAAAATGGCAAGTGCCAATTCTAGCCTTAGCTGCCTGACAGATAATGATTTGCCTGGGGTCTTTCTAGACAGGATGTGTCAGAGGAGGGGCTCAGTAGAACCTAATTCTGAGGCAAGCTCTTCTATTTACCATAACTCTCACAGACAGATATCTAAACACAGAATCACTGCATGTAAACACAAATACATTGATTACTGGAGAATTTCTTAAGAAGATGAGTTTACATACTCTGTTTCAATTACTATCTGTACTTTTATTATGGCATGTGTAGGATAGGGACCAGGCAGAGTGAAGGCAGGTAGCTCTATAGAGGAAAACACTCAGAAGACTCACTTACTATTATTGTTTTTTATAATAACTTGCATTTTTAAATACCAGAGACTATGATTTTCACGTTACTTCTATCACATGTGTTCCAGTGGTTTGGAGTAGATGAATGACATGGTCATATGACCATGGGCTATAGAAAGATTATTTCTATAGCTGTGTGTCAGATGTACTGGAGAGAATAGAGGCAGGAAATAGGGAGACCAATTAGGAGGTTAGTACAGTAGCAGTTAGGATAAGGTGTTAGCAGGTAGACAGTGATGTCTTGGTTATAGACTCACAATAGAATAAGCTATATATTCAATGGCCCTGCTCAGAAGGATCAGAGAGGAACAGAAGGAGCCTGCTTATAATGTGAGAGAGATCTGTTAACCAGTGTGTGTTTGAAATATGACAATCTGAAGTTTTTCCTGCTGTGACTAGCCAGTAACAGGATTGAAACCAGACTGAAGGCAGGAAGGCAAAAATGCAGAAGACAGAAACAGTTTTCACACAATAAATATGGTACCAAGCTAGGAATATTTTCTAAAACTATGATATATATAATATAGAATAAGCAATGATACTGTAATTTTAAACAAAAAGTTGTCTTACCACTTTTCCCAGCCTCCACTTCTTGACTTAATGTATTGATTTGCCCATTTATTAATTTGTTATTTTAGAAGCATATACAAGCTGCAGAGAGGTGTTTTAATAATAAACATATAAGGGGCAGGTAGGTGGCGTGATTGATAGGGCACTGGCCCTGGATTCAGGAGGAACTGAGTTCAAATTCGGCCTCAGACATTTGACACTTACTAGCTGTGTGACCTTGGGCAAGTCATTTAACCTCATTGCCTAGCCAAATAAATACATAAACATACATCTGCTGTTTCACATGAAGTCCTTATTGCTGGGAGTCGAAAGTGTATAAATAGTTATGATTTGCCCCAAACCAATGAAGGATATTGCTTCATTACTTAATTTCCCTTTGCAAGTTATTCTTCCATCTATGTGATGTACAGACTAGAAAAAGGTAATCTTAGAGAATTCGTGCCATTTTGTTCTTTAAAAATGTTCATTTTTGGTAAATGTCTATTATAGATGCATGAGAGCTGACCTAGAGATGTACTGGAGTCAGCTCAAACTGGCTTATGAGAGCTGATTGTTAAGTTGTCAGAGTGGACATTTACACCTCAAAAATCTGCAAATCTGCAATGAGAGAGAAGGTCATTTTAATTTTCAAAAAAAATAACCTGTACACAGAGTGCAAATTATGGATTAATTAACATGCATTTCTTGTAAACTTTAATATACTATATTGGAAATTTAGAATTAAAAAAAAAACCCAACCCTGAGAGACTAGACCCTGTTCTTAAAGAACTTAAAATATAGATGGACTGTAAATACATATGCACAAGAAACAATATGAGAAAAAATTACAGAGATCCTTGATATTTATTGTGGTAAATGCTTGAGTATAGTACACTTTCCAGGAAGATGGAAAAGTAGAAAGATGTTAAAATTGGTCTGGCATTTAGCATAAAACCCTTAAGTTGGGTTGTGACAACTACTGTATATCTGACTGGGGAATTAAATTAGAATACCTGGGAGAAAATATAGCACGACTTTAGGTTATTTAATCCAAATTATGTTTTGCCCTTTTTGGGCCTGTTAAATGACGTGATCTTTTTATGATTCTCCTGTAAATAGTGAAATGCATTTCTGGGGAAATGATCCCTTTTACAGGTAGCAGGATGATGCAGTAGATAGAGTATAGGGACTTACTAGCTTTGTGACTCTGGGCAAGTCACTTAACCCCATTGCCTACACACAAAAAAAAAGAAAAGTGGAGTGTTGTGCCTGGAGTCAGAAAGACCTGAGTTAATAGCTGGCCTCAGACACAGTATGACCTTGGACAAGTCACTTAACGTCTGTTTGCCTCTTGTTTTTTCAGTTTGTAAAATGGGGATAATAGCAGCATCTACTTCCCAGGGTTGGTGTGAGGATCAAATGATATGTTTTTAAAGCCCTTAGCATAGTATCTGGCATATAATAGGTATTTAATAAATGTTTGTTTCCTCCCTCCCTCTTTCACTTCTTCCCTCCATTTTTTCTTCCTTCCTTCCTTCCTTCTTTCTTTCTTTCATACTTTCCATCCATCCATCCATCCCTATTTTTATAGAATTATAAAAGATGGAGATTATTCTTAAACAACTTCCTCTGGTCATATCTGAAGTATTTTGTGATATAGAAGATTGGAAAGTTGATAAAAGTGCCTTACATTTTATAAATGAAAGATTGCTTTGGTCTTTGTGAACAAGGACATTTGACTGGCACTAGATTATTCTCAAATGGGCTACTCCTCATGTAGTTTATCTATGACTTCCTTTTCCTTTTTAATTCTGTTCCAGATGCTGTTCTTATGTGGGTCGAAGAGGCAATGGACCTCAGGCTATCTCTATTGGCAAGAATTGTGATAAATTTGGAATTGTTGTCCATGAATTGGGCCATGTGATAGGTTTCTGGCATGAACACACAAGACCAGACCGAGATAAGCATGTAACCATCATAAGAGAAAATATCCAGCCAGGTGAGGTGATAGACATGTAACATTTAAAGGTACCCTGAACATTTTTACATTCCATTCTTTTTCTTCATTTTATCCTCTGTTTTGTTTTTCTAAAAAATATATGCTGATCTTTGGATATGTGTTAATGTAAACACTTTGATTCATCTCAAGTAATATTTGATTTGTTCCATCTCTTGTTTTTGAAAGGAAGATTCATTCTTGATACTCACTTTCTTTGTTTTTCCACTATGTCTAGTACAGTGATTGGCATGTGGTACATGCTAAGGTAGTGTTTTTGATAGACTGTTTTTGTGTTGTTGTAGTCAGTGGGAAAGGCTTTCTGTTATGCTCCTTTGGCTTTGAGTTCAGTCTAAAAGATGTTATATGTCTCACATGAAAATAAAGATTGTCTTTTGGTGAATAATTTTGAATTTTGTTTATTTTCTGAGAGGATAACATTTCTCCTCTAAACACTATTCATTGTCTATTTTCAACCTTGAATACAACTTTTTAAAAGCCTATATTTAGTCAGGTAACACTACAGCCTGGAGTCAGCCTATTCCCTCCACCCAGTCCTCTTGCCAACACAAAAGATTATTCAAATAGAAATGTGAGTCAGTGATCCAAACAAACACTTATTTTCTGTATATGTTTTCTTCCTAAAATTGCTAGGTGGAAAGTATCATGTCCTGGGACTCAGGGTAGCTCTGGGTCTTAGGCTCAGAGGACTATAGATTAGAGCTGGAAGACCTTAGAGGTCATCATTTTATAAAAAAGAGAAGTTAAGTGATGATTGGAGCCTAGATCCTTTGAGTCCAAATTCAGTATCTTTTGCCTTAGCCATAATCAGTTTATACCTATTATTTTCTTCATATTTTAACTAGATTTAGGACAGCTTTCATACAAGGAAGAACTCTAAAGATATGGGACAAATTAGAGATATTTCATTGAGTTTCTTGGAATTGCCTTAACAATATCTACGTTCATGCTCAAGTGGCCTAGTATCTTTGGTTTCAGTTTTCAATTTAGTTTTTAAAAGAAGCTCCATTAGAGGAAATTTAAGTTTTATTTATAGTTAGAATAACATCTTTGGAGACCTCTTGTAGAAAGAATGATCTTAGAGCTAGAAGACCTGGGTTCTAGGTCAGGCTCTTATACTTGAGTGATGAGACTTGGCAAGTCACTTAAACTGTTAGCCTCAGTTTCTTCATCTTTAAAATGAAGGTAATACTTTTTGCACTGATAATAATAATAATAATAATAATAGCTAGCATCTTATAATGCTTTAAGGTTTGTGAAACACTTTACAGATATTATCTCATTTGATACCCCACCAGCCCTCTAAGAGATGTGCTGTTGTTATCCTTATATTCCAGATAAAGAAATTGAGGCTGAAGGTCACAAAGCTATTAAGTAGCTGAGATTGAATTTGAACCTACATCTTCTTGGCTCCCAAATACAGTGATTTATTCACCATTCTACTTTGCCTATCTTTCTCATAGGGCTGTTGTGGGGAAAACACATGGTACAATGATAAATGGGAAATGTTTTAATGATAGCTAAGTCACACTATGCTTTATAATGAAAATTTCTTTACATCTGATATCTCGTTTAATTCTTATAAGCAACTTCTGAGGCAAGAAGTGCATTAACTATTTCGTTTTCATTGGGAAAGGAAATAGACATCAAAGGTAAATGACTTGACCCAAGTCACATAGTCAGTATCTGAGCTGGGACAGTAATTTAGATTTCCTGAGTCTAAGACCAGTACTGTTTCCTCTCTGTTGCAGCTATTACATATTATATTTTCAAGCCTCAATAAATTCTCATCTTCATTTTTCTCTCATAGTGTTTATATATTTTGAAAGTGTTGCAGACCTGTATTCAAGAGAGACCTAAGTTTAAGTTCTGGATCAGATACTTTAAAATGGTATAGATATATTTCACACCTTTCCACCTTCATTTCCTCATCTGTAAAATGGACATTGGATTAAATTATCTCTAAGATCCTCCCCTACTTTTAAGTCCTAACAGTGGATCATCCATCAGGCATTCAGTCAATAAATATTTATTGAGCACTAACTGTTTCCGGCACTGTCACTGTGCTAGATTCCAGGGATAGAAAGACAAAAAAACCCCAGTTTGTGTCTTCAGGGAGATTTGATTCTATCATGGGAGACATGTACTTATGAATATATGTACAACAGAGAGACAAAATTAATATGAGATAATTTTGGCAAGAAGCTCTAGCAGCTAGCTGGGAGAATATGTAAAACCCTCGTGTAGAAGGTGATGTTTGAACTGAGCTTTGAAGGAAAATATGTATGCTAAGAGGTGGAAGAAAGGACGGAATATGATTAAGGCAGTGGAAAGACTCTGCAAAGGCATAGAAATGTATGTGAAGAACAAAAAGGCTGTTTTGATTAGACAGTATAGCGCATAGAGGGTAGTTGTATTTAAGTCCGGAGTAGAAGATGGGAGCCAGGTTGTGAAGGGTTTTAAATGCCAAACAGAACAATTTGTATTTGAACCTTGAGGCAAAATTAAGACACTGGAGTTCATTACACAGAGGAGTGACATGGCAAGGCCTGTGTTTTAGAAATATATCTTTGGCAGCTTGTAGAAGATAGAGTGATGAGGGGAGAGGCTTGAGGAAAGAAGCCAAACTAGGAGTCTGTTTACTGTGCTGTAGGCAAGAAGTGATGAGGGTAGATTAGTGCCAATGTCTATAGAAGGAATGGGATAAATGTGAACTATTGTGCAGGTGAAATCCACAAGATTTAGAACCTGATTCAATGGTGGGGGGGTGAGGGAAAGTAAGGCATCAGTCCTGTGGAGGACCAGGGTGAGTGGAAAGATGGTGATGCCTTTCCAGAAATAGGGAATTTCAGAAGAAGGATGAGTTTGGGAATGTTCATGCTGTGCACAGCATTTTATTTTATTTCTGCTGAATGATTTAATTTAGATCTGATATATGTGCAGCTTCAAAAAAGGTTTGAAAAAATTGGAACATATTTTAAAATTAAAACCTAATTTTCTCTGATAGTTGATGTACTAGTCCTATTGTCAATTGGAATTTCTACATGTGTCTTTGCTCCTTATTATGTTCTTGGAGACCTGTACATTAGAACTTCCACACAAATTCCTTCTTGCTGGATGCTTTTGCTGGGTGATTTGCGTTTTAAGTATGAACAATCTCAGGTTTTGGTATAGGGAGGATTATTCCTTTACTTATGCCCAGTGTGAGCTGTTAGCTATTTTTGATCTCCTTAGAAATGAAGACTTCTCTGCTTAGAATAACATTGAGAAGTCCTGACATTCAAACAAGCACAGAAGAATGCTGCAGTGGAGGAAGCAAGAATATTCATTTAGTTGAGGCCAAAGGTGATTCTTTCATATGCTCAAGAGAGGAAAGCGTATGTGAAAAAACATTTCTGAAATATGTTTCTTTTCACTGGTTTGAAAAATAAGCTGAAGTCAGTCCACCAGAAAGAGTTTTTAAACATGAAATGTATGCCAAACTCTTTGCGTGGTGCTTTAGAAAATTGTAAAAGAAGTAACTCAAAAATTACTCTTGCTGTTATGAATGGGGAAGTCTGGACAAACAGATATACATGTAAAATCAGTGTGAAAGAAGTAAGCTCTTGTATATAGGTGTACCTATGCATGAGTGTTAGGGAAATTTCTTAATAGCAGAGATTGTTATTCTATTTCTGAATCTTCTTCCAGACCCAGTTTTGGACAAATGGTGGATATTCAATAATGCTGAAAGAGCAGAGATGGAGTGGGGTAATTGAAGTAATTGGAGCCAGCAAGAACAGTTTGGTCTAGTTAGGAAAGAATTTTTGAAGAAGAACCTTCATTTAGAACTTTACTCAGACCTGAGGCTTAAGGTCAGTCCTAATGTCATACCCTATCACCTTTTCCCAAGAGTGTTAGAGTATGTTTTGAGCTGATTGGTTGCTTTGCCATTAGTTTCTGCCCTCTCCAATCCATCGTTCTCCTGGTTGCTAAAATGATCTTCCTAACGCACTTGAGGCAGGGAACAAAAAAGTAGGAGGCTATTACCATGTGCTTTATGGAAGAGGTGATGAGGGCTAGAACTTGGTAGGTGAAAGTGTGTGTAGAAAATCTTCTTACACTTTAGTCCCCTGCACATACTTGACAATGCATAGATTTGACTGTGTCCTTTAGGATGTGACCCTGCTCAGAAACTTTGAATAACTTTCCATTGTCTATAGGATAAAATAGAAATTATTAGCCTGGAAATTAAAGTCCTGTATGTTTTGGTGCCTAATGACCTTTCCAACCTTACTTCTTTCTCGTTCCATTGTAGAATACAGCCAAACTAGATGACTACTTCCCCCTCAATATCATCCCATCTTTCTTGACATTTAAAGCTTTTTACAACCTGTTTTCCCCCTACATTTCTAGTCTTCTTATACTTCATTCTTCTCCACATGCCCACCAACCCATCTACATTGGTTCAGCTGCTGTTCCTTATAATCAAACAACATGCCAACTCCTGACTTTGTACATTTGAATTAGTGGTCTTCCATTTCTGGAATACTCCCCATTTCTTACCTCCAACTGCATTTAATAAGTATTTGTTGAGTTAAATCAATGAATGATTCACATACTCAGACTTAAAAAAATGAAAAGGCATTTTAATTTGAGTGTATTACCACTTCTGTTTGAATACTTTATGATGCTATAGCCTTGGTCTGTAGTTATTATAGAGTCCTTATCCATGCAAAACAGCTTTTTCTGAAGATTGGTTTCATTTCTTTTTTTACAATCAGTTGTTATAGGGTTTCTTCAGTAGAGGACGGCAGTCTATATGGCCAGGAAGATGTGATTATAGGAGTTAATTGACCAGAATTCACAGAGGTCATACTGTTATCAATAAGCTAGAAGTCTTTAGTCTGAACACCTGGGACCACAGTTTCCAGTGATCACTTCACATCCCCAACCTCATTACCACATCATTCACACTAATTTAATAATACATGGTCTGGGGT